GTTCTTGTGCTTTCTCGTCTTACAGGTTCTCATGGATCCTGGTGGAGCCTCCTGCCATGGTCCTGCTTGACTCCCATTGCTAATATTACTGATATTATTGTTGTTATTATTATTACTATTATTATTACTGCCGTTACCAATTTACTATAATCACTGCTCATTGTCCCCCATCGTTGTTGTCATCGTCGTCATCAACTTCTTCATGTTCATCATCATCAGTCACTACTATTAGTGTAGTTGTTGCTACTGCTGTTGCTGTGCACCTTTGTCTCTGTCTCTGTCCTTCTCTCTTTAACCCTCTATCCCCCTCTCCCCCTCTCTCTAGCTATTAAGTGCTGTTTGAATGGCGCTAATACATATTTGGAAGCAGTTCCCTCGTTTCAAAAAGAATTAATTGATTGGTGTTGGGCATTGAGGCATTACTAATAATAATATTGCAGTTTCCCAGCACTTTCCACAGTAACTAGTAGTGTAACTAATAAATAATACATTTCAGTAATAATATTACAATTATTCCCCCAAAATATAATTAGTTCAATTACTATAATTGGAACCACCTAGTGATCTGAAATCCAACAATCCAGTCACATCCTTGAATTCATTTTTGTGATTGTAATGTCTGGAGATAGAAATGCTGGAAACAGCTGGAAATATTTCTTTGATTTTAACAAACAAAACTGGATTTTAATCATTGTAAGTCTGAATTTTGGGGGGAGTAACAGAAAAGTAATATAACTAGTAGTGTAACTAATTATTGTTGGGAGGGAGTAATAAGTATTTTGAAGAGTAACAAGTAATGAGTAATACGGAAACTTACAAATAATGCAAATGTTTATCCAGGTGCAAAACGAGATCCAGAGGAGGTGGCGGAGGTGGAGGCTGAAGCGGCATCTGCAGGTAGAGCCCAGGAGACAGTGTGGCTCCATGAGCCAGAGTGGGGGTGGCCCCACAAATAATCACTCTGCTCATTAAAACATCACCACCAAAACATCCAGCATGAACTTGCCCAGATTGGGTCTAAAGGAGGCAGAGACCAGCTGTTGATTGAGACCTGAGCAAACTGTTCAAGACCAAAACATGCAATAAACCAAAATATATTTTTTACAATGTAAAGACAGAATACAGAGATTTAGCTTAATCAGCAAACAATACATACATGCTTAAGGTAGCTTGTAGTGCTCAGCATCAATGGAATCATCCATTTTCAGCCATGCTAGCTGTTTTGCCGGTTCCTTGGACTTTCACTGCTGTGAAATCCACCTACCAGACATTCATGGTTTCCAGATGATGTATCATAATGACTTAAAGACACAATAATACAATAATTCTTATATCCAGGTAAATATGCTGTGGTTTTCAGTTTGTACCTTTCTCTCTAATATCATTTAAACTAGCGCAGCACACACTTTCCTCCATCTCATCCATTCTGCTTTTGAACATCACCTCTGCTCACCTCTGCTGTAAATATTTTGTAGTGCACTTTGTGTTACAGATTGACTTAATTGGTGTTTCTGCACTGATTTTTACTGGCAGAAATAATAGAATAGAATAGAATAGAATACTGGAGTTTGTGCTATTAGGAGAACAGTATGCATACCTGTAGTAGCAACAGAAATAAGTGTTGCAGCTGTTCCAGGTGCGTTTCCAGATTGGGGGCCTAAAATCTGATTGGCGACCCCATTATCCTTATCTCTTCCACACTTTCAGAGGTTTTAGCAGGCTCCATTTTAAAGCTATTGTGGCGATAGGTATCATAAGAAAATTAGATTACCTAACACATTGCCCCCGTCGCCAAGTGCTTGCTCATGGTGGTACTGTTGGGTCTCTG